CCAAAACGTCCAGCAATTCATGCAGAGCCTCCTGAATGGATGCCTCCATCACATCCTGAGCAATTGCAGAATCCTCCTCACCTGTCGCCGACACCAAGCCTACGTCCTCTCCAACTCCAGGTAGGGTCACACATGTAGAAGACAACTCTGTCTCCCTCTCTACCTCTGCACTTCATGTCTCCAGTGCCAGAGACTCACGTTGCGTTGCCGTATGTTTGCTGCTTCGTTGCATCATCAGTCCTTGCATCATTCGTTGATCTACCTCGTCGCATAGGACATTGCGCCACGATGTGGTCATATGTCCCACATAGTCAACACATACACCTCTGACCCGTGTATGTAACGAAGACTTGAGTACGGAAGTCCTCCATCACCACGTACGATGGTATAGGGTGCTTTAGGGAGATTTTATTTATTTATTTATTTATTAACAATTTGAGCACACATACAGAGGTACAAAAAAATACAGATAAGAGCAGCATGCCAAAGCCACTTATACTATGCATAGCATTACGGGCTGGCTTAAAATTAACTTAAGATTAACTAAGCAATGATGAAATCAGTGATAAAACATTAATGTAAACAGATTACTATAAAGCACAAGCGAGTATTACAAAGACAGGTCATATGGTTGCTTGCATTGTTGTACATTCAGTCATATGGAGTATTCTGTTAGGTAGTGTATTTAAAAAATAATAAAGTTAGATTGGGTTTTAGGTTTAACATTTATGTGATATAATTGTGAGAAACATTTAAGATATACAATTTATAAGGTTCAGTTATTCAGTATTTATTTGGTTTTGGGTGAGTAAGTGATCTTTGAGAAGAGACTTGAATTTATAAACAGGTAGTGTTTCTTTTATATTTACAGGTAATGAATTCCAGATTTTAGGGCCTTTTATGTGCATTGAGTTTTTGCATAGTGTGAGATGGACACGAGGAACATCCAAAGAGTGATCTTTTGCCTTGTGTTATGGTCATGTGTTCTGTTGAGGTTGGCAAGGAAATGTTTGAGGGGGGGTTAATATCAGAGTTAAGTGTTCTATGTATGTAATAGGTGCAGTAATAAGTATGGATGTTTTGTATGGTGATGGGTTTTAGTGTATTGATTATTGGGAAGTGTGCTGCCTGTAGTAAGAATTTGTTATTCTAACTGCAGCCTTTTTTTGGGGTAATTAGGGGTTTCGAGATGGTTAATTGTTGTTGAGCCCCATGCACAAATTCCATAGGTGAGTTTGGGGGTAAATAAGAGAGTGATATAGGGCCAGGAGGGCTGACTGTGGAGCATAGTACCGTATCTTTTCCGATAGTATGCCTACAGTCTTGGAAATTTTCTTAGAAATTTGTTGTATATGTGTATGAAATTTGAGTCTATTATCAAGGTGGATTCCTAAGAATTTTCCCTTGTTAGCTTTGTGATAGGTGATCCGTTTATCATTATGTTAAGAGGGACATCTTTTATCTCTGTTACCAAACTGAATGAAGTAAGTTTTGTCAATGTTTAGTGTAAGTTTGTTAGTCCTCGTCCAGGTAGATATTTCTGTAATTCGGTATTTACAGTATTGGCTACGTGACTGGGCTCGGGTGGGAGAAGACGTATGTAGTGTCATCTCAAATAGTGTGGGTTTGAGTAATTGCGAAGCATTTGGTAGGGCATTTATGTATAGGAGAAAGAGAAGAGGGCCAAGGACACTTCCCTGGGGACACCAACTGAATTTGGGTTTTGTGCAGAAGAGTTTGCCCCATTTGCGTAAAACATTTTTGCTTCTGTGTTAGGAAAGGACTTGGGGTAGTTGGGGGGAGTGCCCTCTTATACCATAGGTTAAAATTTTTACGGGGAGCAAGTCGGGGGTTTTCAACTGTATCAAAAGCTTTAAACCAAATTCAATGAAGTCCCCTTTGGGACTTTTTTTTTTCTCTATTGCGTGTATATATGTTCTAGCATGTGTATAATAGAAATCTTTTAGTATTTTTTTTAGGCCTAAAACCAAAATTTGGGCCCGGGGGTTGATTTATTTTTTTTGGGAGATAAGGTGGGGTTTTTAGTTTCGTTTTAAATTAATTTTTCGAAGATTTTTGAGAGAGGGTGTAATTTGGGATTTTTTGGCCAATTTTTTATTAAACTTTTTTGGTCCCTCCTTTGTGGATGGGGTGACCCTTGCTTTTTTGGAGTACTGTGGGGAAATGTGGGGAAAATTCAATGGATTTTTTAAAGAGTTTTTGCAATAAATTGGTGTTACACTTTTGACCCCTTTTTTGTATAAAAAGGGGGAAAGGGTAAAAAAATTTCCCCCTCCCTTGTTTTTATTTGCGTTGTAAAAAGGGGGGAAATTTCCCGTAGGGTTTTGTCGGAGCTAAAAAGTGTGTTCGGGTAGTTGCCGGGAGGTACCCTTTTTGGGGGGGTTCTGATTTTTGGGGATTTTATTGGCAAGGTTTTTTTCCTATATTGAGAAGAAATCTTTGGGAGTCTGTTTGCTTTTTTCTGTTGGGGGGATTTTGGGGTTTAATCTGATTTTGAAATTTTTATTTCGCTATTTCGTGATATTTTTTTTTGTTCCCGGGAATTTTGTTTGGGGTTTTCCGGGTTTTTTTTATATCACCTCGTAATTGGATAATCTTTTCCAAAATTTCCCAATTTTTTTTCCCTTCTTATCAGGCGGGTTTTAGGTTTGACGAAAAACGTTTTGTTTGGTCTCTGGTTATGTGACCCATTCTGTACTGTTTTTCATATTGGTGTTTTGTTTTTTTAGGTTTTGGAGAATACGGGGGTGTTACCCAGGGACTGTTCAGTCTTTTAGCTGTCATCTGTTTAGTTTTTTTAGGGCAGTGTTTTTAAAAAGGGGAATTGGGTTTTTTTTAAGAAAAGTTTTAAATACATTCGTAAATTTTGGATAATTTCTAGTCAGTGGGGCCAGTCAATGTTTGCTACGCTTTTGTGAAGTTATTAAGGGCTGCCTCTTGGGGAAGTTTGAAGGGTGACTTTAGCAGTGTTTTGGGGTTTTATTTTACCAAGAGTTTTTAGGGGAAAAGTAGGGTAGTGGTCTGTGGTATTACCGTAATTATCCCTTGATTTTAAAGGGGATATGGTGTTGGCCCCAGATGTGGTAAAGGTTGGGAAAACCTGTCTCGGTAAACTCTTTTTGGGTTTTTTTTACTGTTGGTAGCAACAACGTTACTCTTTGGGTGTTTGTAAAATTCAGAAAACTTTGGGGGTCCGGGTTTTGCAGGGATTTAAAAATTAAAGGGTCCCCTGAGATTTAGTAAGTGTTTCTTTGTTCTGGTGCATCAGTTACTTTTTTCCTGGGTTTTTTTACTAAATTGGCTAATGTTTGACGGGGGAACCTGTAGATTTTTTATCAATTTTGGGGTTTTTTTTTTTGTAGGGGATTTGGATTTGAAATTTGGGTATTAAATATTCCCCATGTTCAACCCTTTTGCAAGTAATTTGTGATACATTCTAGTTGGTCTGGGGTAGTTTTATGGGTGTTTCCAAACCCCCTTTTTTGGTCTGGCCTACAATTGTGTATGGCTGGTAAAACCCGGAAAGGCATAGACATCTGTACAAACCCGGGGTTTTTAGCCAGGGTTTTAGTTTTTGGGGTAATGTGGCAAAATTTTGGGATGTAAGGGGAAATTTTGTAATCCTATGAGGTACGTAATTTTTTGCTTAAAGATCGAAAATTGTAGTTAAAAATATTATGTTTTTGTTTTAGGAAAAAAAAACCCTTTCCCGGGATACCAACAAGCGGGCCATCACGCCCAACCCTCCCAATGTCCCCCAAAAGTATCATACCTTTAAAGCCCAAAAAAAAGTTCCTTAAATCACTTCCCCCTCCCCTTTCAAAAGGAAAAATTTCGCCCCTTGATTCCCAAATGTAAAGCCGTGTACATCATGGAGGTGGGCAGTAACCCCCAGGGGTTTAAACCGGCCTTAAACCCCAAACCCGGGGGACCCGGCCCCCATTTTTCATAGTTGCTACTCTGGCGGAATTTGACGAAAAGCCTTGAAAATACCATTCAAGACACGCCATAGAGCCCCCTCATTTGCGATGCCCCTACGTGCTATTAAAAAATCGCCGTCAGCAAAAATGGGGGGTTCTGAAATATTGGCGATCCCTTTACAAGTTCAAGACAAAAAAAGGTTACACGTCAAAGTCCACCTTCCCCCCAAAAAAAAAGTACTGAGGAAATCTGTGCAGGGAAAAACCCGCTGATTTTAGGAGCGACTGCAAAAGCCTGGGCCCCCACGGCCCCCAGAGCCCTGAGGACAATGATTTAAAAGGATGGGGTTGTGTATTACCTCAGACATATACAGGGTGGGTTGCTTTATTACCTCGCTCAAAACAGGATGGACTGTTATACAAACCCGAGCTCTTTTGCAGGAAAAGCTGTTACATTTTCCTCAAACATTTTAAAAAGACAAAATTTTAAACGTACGTCATCCCCCTTCATAGTCCGGGACTAAGTATTTCTTCCACTCCATGGAACCCCCCACAAAAGTCGACTAACACAAAGGTATATACTTACAAGGCAAAGATATTACTATTTTTTTTCTGTTTAACAGGGATATAGAAGGAACAGAAAATTAGAAGCTTGTGCTGCACAGTGTATTATAATTCTTTCTTTTATTTAAAAAGGCTGTAAAAAAACAAAAAAAACCAATTCCGGGGAAAAAAAGTACACATAAACCCAAAATAAAATAAGCTTCTTTCTCCTATGTAAAGGATTATTTGTGTATAAGTATTGTACGTTGGGGCTGGTATGAAATACGGGTGATACCTCTCGGATCGCCAAGCAACCGAAACATCTATTTTTTTTTCTAACTGTTCGTGTAAGAATTAGTTTGAATGTGAATGGTGTTTTTGTTACGTTAAGATAATCTGTGAGAAGTTTAGAGTAGTTTACTTATTATTAAAATTTGTTGTAGGAACAACTGACAGTTGGTTTATGGCTTTTGAAGGAGTTTCCAGTTCCTTATTTACATCATTTACCACTCACAGGCATGTGCCGTGGAGAGCGCCGCCCATCACCACCCACACCGACCTGTCCTGCTGTTGGTGACCGCCCCTGCCATACTTCACCCACAACCACTACTTCAGGTAAGTGCTATGCGTCTTTCTCCTCGCTAACCCCTTCCATCTTTTAGCATATCGTATATTTCCCCATCAACGGAACGTAACCAAAAAGATTAATACGTATACATTCACCTTCACTCGTACCTTTTTTTATACTTTATTTTAAAGCATACATAGTACAAAATATACACATAAAAACTGTTTTTGTCCAAAAAAATGGACCAAAAACAAAACTTACACAATTATAATCACACCACAAAATATACCTAATCCATTGAACCAAAAACTTTTACACACTTGTAGCCCTCACTCAAACCCCTTCAATGTTAGTTAGTTAGTTTAATATGTTTATTATGCACCCCATACCCATCCTGTGGGCGGTAGTCAAAAGATTACAGAGGTACATAATTGGTCCAGGGACTGGACCCCAAAGTTTTGATAGCTGAGCAAGTTACAGAGGTAATGAACTCGTAATTTACAAAAGTAATGAACTCACAATTTACAAAGGTAATGAACTCCAGGTAGGTCTAGTCACAATTATGACAAGTTACAAAGGTATTTACAGATTACAGAGGTACGTAATGGGTCCAGGGACTGGTCTCCAAAGTTTGATAGCTGAACTAGGTACAAAGGTAATGAACTCACAAGTTACAAAGGTAATGAATCCTGTAAGAATGGTTACTTACGTTTATACATGGCTACAATCATGAACAAATTCCAGAGTAATGAGCAATTCACACTTCCACACCCGGTCACAACTGTAATGAATTATTGGTGCAAATATTGATTGTTGAGTCACACACACACACACAACACACACACACACACACACACACACACACACACACACACACACACACACACACACACACACACACACACACACGCACACACAACTCGTACACACACACACACACACACACACACACACACACACACACACACACACACACACACACACACACACACATCACACACACACACACATACACACCCACACACAAACACACACATACACAAACACACACACACATAAACACACAAACACAAACTCGTACACACACACACACACACATACATTCACACACACACACACTCATACACATACACACAAAAAAACCACAAACACAAACACACACAAACACACACACACACACACACACACACACACACACACACACACACACACACACACACACACACAGGAGCTTGGACTCGACCCCTGCAATCTCAACTAGGTGAGTGCACACACACACACACACACACACACACACACACGCACACATGTGGTAATGCTTTATTTACAGCTAGCAAAGTCAGGGTATTTCTCCAGAATGGTCTGTAATATACCAGTGTGGATAAAATACTTAGCCATTTCTTGAACACTTCTGAGTGAGTTGTTTCTAAATTCATTAATTTTATCGCACTCCAGTACATAATGACGCAAGGTGTGACAATAGTCCATCTGGCAAAGTTTACATTTCGTTTGGTCTACATCTGGTGGTGGTGATTTAACCTGCCAAAGGTACTTGTAACCCAGCCGGAGCCGGGCAGTAGTGACATTCAAGAGTCTGCTTATTTTGTTGGATGCACCATAGACATGTGGCTCCTCCTGCATGATAGAATGATGATAGATGGACTCACTGGTGTCAATCTCCCTGAGTCTTAAGTCAATGAAATTCAGTTGAAGTTCTTTTCGTATTATTCTTCTCAAACTACTACCTGACAAGCCAAGATTGCAATCTACTCCCTCTTTGAAAGCATACAGCTTAGCCAATTTATCAGTTCTATCATGCATCTGAAGACCAATGTGAGATGGAATCCACAGCATGTGCAATCTGACTCCACTGTCCACAATCTTACCATACCTGTGTCTGGCTTCTGACACAAGCATGCCACAATTTATGCTTAATGAGTTGAGAGCATTTATGGATGACAGAAAATCAGTTACAATTAAACTGTCAATCTTAGATACATAGATGCATTTCAGTGCAAGGAGTATGGCAAACAGTTCTGTCTGAAGGGTAGAGGCCCAATTATTGATGCGTGCTCCAATTTCTTTAAGAGAGCCATCACTCTGTACGACAACAGCAGCACTACCAGCTGCACCAGTGGATTGGTGAACAGAACCATCAACGTAAATAATTTGCGAGAGTGTGTGCTGTGTGACTAAGTTATCAGTACAGCTAAAGGCATCATGTTTGGCTTCAAGGCGAAGTTTTGGTTGTGATAAGTAGTTTGGGGGGAAATGGAGGAATGGTAGTTTGGAATGGGGTAATATTCCATGGAGCGGAGAAGTGCCGCTGTTGCCTTACTTGACATAGATCATGTATCTGATTCATGCGGAGGTCGGTTCCAGTTTTTTCGATCCATCTGGAGGAGTGTTCACCAGTGCTGAGGAAAGTTTGGAGGGCTTCTGTGCAGGGGTTTGAATGGGCTTGCCTGAACATATTAACCCCAATTAGGATATTTCTTTCAGTAACACGATCTCTGATGCTTGGAATATCAAGTTCTTTTTGCATATTTAAAATTTTGGCAGTACGAGAGCATCCTAAAATGATCCTCATTGCTTTGTTCTGCAGTTTTTCCAGTCCTCCAAGCTTCCAGTCAGACACAAGAGCAAGTAGTGGCGCAGCATAACCAACCAATGATCTAATATAAGCAAGATACATCATTTTCACAATTTTAATATTAGCACCATACCTGGGGTGAAACCCAGCTACAACTCTAAGTGCTCTTAGTCTTTCTTTGTATTGGCGACAGTCTTGTTACAACAGGTCCAAGTAGTGGAACCTCAAAGCCTAGATACCTGTATCTGCTTACATATTCTAGAAGAGACCCATCATGCAATTGGATTTGACGAACTGTGCCTCTCTGTCGAGGAGGACGCCTATTGAGTATCTTTGTTTTATCAGTAGAGATTATCAACCCCAGGTCCTGACACGAGGCTAGTACATGATTAAGAATGTTTTGGGTGTTGGAGAATCCGGTGGTGTGAATCATTATATCATCAGCAAAACTAATCACATAATGATGGGGCTGACTAGGCATAGCATTAAATAATGCATTAATTAGAATATTGAACAGTGTGGGACTGAGCACACCTCCCTGTGGGGTTCCTAATTCAAAGTCTTTAGTTACACTTCTATGTCCCTGGAACAACACAGACGATTTTCTGTTGGACAGGTAGCCTTTAATCCAGCGGAGAAGCCATCCTCCAACATCCATTCTGGCAAGTTCACTAATGAGTACATGTCGGTTGGCTACATCGAAAGCGGATTTAAGGTCAAGGAACGTAGTGTATGAGCTGTCAGTGTGCAGAGTGAGAAAGGTGGCTATGCAATGATGCACACTCCTTCCATGCATGAAACCATGTAACCGGGGAGACAAAAATTGTTTGATTCTGTACATGAGACGATTAAGAATCATTCTCTCAAATGTTTTACACAAGCAGCTAGTAAGAGATATAGGGCGAAATGCATTTTGTTGATAGGGCTTAGGAATTGGAATGATGAGACTGTTGGTCCAAGATTAAGGGAGCTCCCCAGTTACATAGCTCATGTTATATAATTCAAGTAATGGATTACCTGGTACTCGACACAGCAATCTGAGTACGTTGTAAGTAATACAATCCTCACCAGGCGACGTGGAGTTGCCCTTAGTTAGTGCTGCATCAAGTTCATAATTAGTAAAAGGAATGTTGCAGTCATCTGCCTTGTTGAGCATAAAGCAAACAAGTCTCTCCCTTGCATCATATTTGTCATTTAATTTTGCCTGTGTGGTACTGGGAAGATTGTCATAGCTAGGTGTAGCAGCCCAAGCACTGACTAACTCATTCGCCCTATGCAAAGGATGAGGGTGCGCGATCTGCCCAGTTCTGTTACCCTTAATTCTATTTATGTCCCTCCATGCCCGGCTAAGTGGGGTGTGAGCATTAAGACCGTTGACAAATTTTTCCCAGTCTGTTTGCCGCAGTTCTGTCATACGATCTCTGGCAGCAGCAAGGGCAGTTTGGAAGAGCCTCAGCATTCCAGGGGTACGATGTTTTCTATAGGCTAGGCCTAGTCTGCGAGCAGTACGTTTCAGTGTACGAAGTTTAGAATCATTGTAATAAGTATGGTTTTTGAAGGAGGTATGATTATTATGGAAGTTTGTTGGGTTTAGAGTACCAAGAGGTTGCAGTGGCGGCTCTAAGTAGTTCTGAATACTGCTCACAAGGTCATTGTTAAAGGTATCTACAGAGGAACACTCATAGGAATTATACCAGTCAGTCACATGTGCAACAAAGTTATCATGCTGATCAGTGGGAACATTAAAACGTTTCCGTTTGAATATCCCACCAGGAAGGGTAGTATTACCAATATCTAGTGAGGTTAGCCTAGGGAAATGATCAGACGCTATATCTGTTACAATGGAAGACTCACAGCTGGCAGAAGTAATGTTGAAGCCCAGGCACAGATCAAGGACTCCTCCATAGATATGTGTGGGTTCAAGGTCACCTACAATTTGCACATTATCATGACTGTTTAAGAGTGACAACAGTTGATTGCCATTACGATTACCAAACTGTGAGTTTCCAATGCTTTTGTGTCTCGCATTGTAATCGCCAATAATAAGAGAAGGTTCAGAATGAGCACAAGTTGGGAGCTCCAAGTAATTAAACTTATCAGCAGGAGCGTATAAGTTAAATATGTTGAGAGCAGAGTTCCCTATATAAATCCTAACACCGTGATACTGTAGCCCCTCTGTTTTCTTATGTGCAAGAAGTTGATGGGGAAGTGATTTTTTAATATATAGAACACAAGAGTTAGTAGATTTGAGGTTATATGCAACAAATGATGGTAATTTAGGGGGTTGGGATTTTTCAGGGACTCTGCACTCTTGTAGACACACATCATCAATGGGTTCGGTGGTTACTTTATGATGAAGTTCAGGAAGTCTTTTTCTAAGTGATGCAATATTCCAGCTTAATATAGAAAGTTTATACGAGTTTTGATCCATTATAGTAGTCCTGGGATCTTGTT